CCCAACTGTAGTCTACCTTTTTTGGAGCAAAAGCCTTAAATGCTACCTTGCCTTGTCTTTCCAGTTATTCGAACAGACTACTAGAAGAAAGAGAAATTGTGATAAAAGACAAGAAGCTTCCCACTGTCTCCACATGGATGATACCTCTTTCTTCATTTTTATTATATTATGCTAAAAATGTCAAGGAATGGCATGGGCACATTAACCTTTGAAGAGAACCAAAGCTTTAAAAGGAGCCTGATTTGGAAATGGAAGGTTTGAAATCTTCAAAGCAAACTAAGCATTTAGATATGAGTCTTGAATAAACTCAACCAAAGTCCCTAAATTTTGCAGGAAAAATTAGATTTCAACTGTAGAGGCATGCTTTCTCAGTTCCCCTGCCCTACCCCTCGCTTCTGGATTTGCCAAAACAAGCCATCCTGTCAAACACCTGCCTCCACAGCAGTGCCTTTAGGCTATGATCAAGCGTAGCATCTATATTTATTGGTATAAGACCCAACTTGTCCTCGGTTGGGATTAGAAGACACTCTAGGAACATGTTGCATACACAAACCAGAGTTGTGTCTCCTCCCCTCCAGACGCTTAGACAATAAAAAAGCAAGAAAGTAATATATGAAAACAGAGCTTTGAGCCCCTCACCTCCCATACCACAGCACAGAGAAAAACACCTTCCACACAGTGCTCCCAAGAAAAGGTTTAAGTGCATGCTGGTCTTTTCTGACCTCTACAATAACCAGAAGCAAGGACACTAGTTAACACCTCAGGCTCTTTTTCCTTCCTTCCTACTCAGAAGATCCCTGACTATCTCAGTCTCAGTCCCCTTTCCTGCCCTGTTCTGTGCTGGCAAGATCAAGAACCCAGTCCTTTACTCTGACAAAATGAGGAGAAACTACACATTGAAATACCTGCAATTAGAGAGGAAGCAGTTGCAGCCATACAGCCTAATGGAAAATGCAATCAATTGTAGATCCAGTCTGGAAAACGTTATCTGAAAAATACCAACAACAAGCTACATACATCCTGTGGTTCTTTTTAGGCAAGATATTTAGGGGCTTCAAATCAGAGCTTTCTCTGAGTAACACCTGACTGCAGCCCAGAAATTGCTGGAGAGCACAACTACACAGAGAGAGAGCTGGAATATTCTCCTGGGAGTGATTCAGGATTGTTTAATGCATTGCACAGTAAATACAATCTAGGATATTTAGACAGTATCTCCAGCAGCAGAAATTACTTGGCTCAGGGGAATTGTGATTGGATACAAACGCAGATAGAGACCTGTGATGCCAGGATATTAAAAATGCAGCACTTTGAATTGCAGACCAGTGAATGATTCAGTATCATTAGTATAGTATTAGCAGGGTGTGTGATTGTTTAGAAGCTAGCTATGTACCTGTTTCAAACTGTTTGATGCTGATATTCTATATCTTGCACCATTGCAAACTCTGCTTTGAGTGGGATGTCTGTCTTGGTATCCCTCTTTTTTTTTTTTTTTTTTTTAAATCACTGGAGTGAAATTCGATTCTAAAATCCTGATTATCTTCTAATGAGACTGAAATCCCCCAAGACATGGCTGAGAGTAAAGTGTCTTTCCAAAGAGGAAGTCCCTAAAAAGATGAATTTACCAGAAAGCCTGAACATCAGCTGGGGTTGACCAGAAGCAACAAAACAGAAAGGCTCTCACTTGCTGTTGAGAGATGATGAAAGGAAAAGCAGCCTCAGGAGAGAATGTACAGGCAGGAGGTGAAAGTAGCAGGGATTTCCAAAGAGGCCTGTTGCATAATCCTGTGGAAAGGTCCAGAGAGGTAAGGACACAAAATCACGCCAGCTTTCATTTGATTTTGGCTCAATCCAAGCATTTCTTGTAATAGGTATGGGAAGGGAAGAAATTATTATTGTTACACTTTGTGTGGTTTTTAGTATCCCAGGAGAAGAAAAATATGAACCTGGATCACCCAGGGATCTGGGAAACCAGAGGCTACTGGAGTACAAGCCTGCATTTTTCTGAAGGCTAACTAGCAAAAATCCTGTATGAGAAGCTGTCTCTAACCTGAAAATTTTATTTCTGGCACTAAGATGCTTTTCATTAAATCTCCTCTGCCCTCACCTCCTTGTGAGACTGCTGACCCCAGGGATACCTCTCACAGAGTTTGGACCCTGTGAAGGTTTCTCTCCTGTTTGGAGCCACCTCTTCTCTCACATCAGGTTGGTACATAAGTATTCTTGAGACCTTCCCCCTTGCCAACGTGGATTCTGAGCTAGAGGAGGGCACAGACAGCCTGAAGGATAGCATGCCATAAGGAATTCTCAAGGCAGTACATATCAGTGCCAGGATTTTTAAAGCGTGGCAGTATACTGGACTGACAGGTGTCATCAGCTGAATAGCTGGGCCATAGGCTGGCAAAACAAAACATGAGCTTTGGACAAAAGTAGCTTTTTCTAAAAACGCAGAGTTTCCTATTCATCTCAATAAATTGAACTACTTCATTCAAAGCCAAGATGCAATCTGGGAGCTGTAAAAACAGGAAATCTAGTTTTTCCTCTTCAATATGTAAATAAAAAAAGTAGATGTTCAAGAATGACATATGGTAATCCTACAACTCCAAAGGAGCTGACAATTAGAAAAAACTACTGAATTATTTTTTTGTCATTTTGACTTCTGAATGGTTGATGTTAATGAATGATGATAAACAATAGTTATACCAAGGCAAAAAAAGTCAGACGCTTAACTTCAAAAAGAAAAATTAAGACTCCGAGGCTTTAAACATAGATTTATTTTCTTCTAAATGCAAGCTGACATATACTGAAAAACTAAATAAAAAATAAGCTGTCTAATCAAATATTTTCTAACGCATACAAATTCACAATCTTAACATTAAGTTTATAGAGTAACATCAATATGCCTTATGCTTACTGAATTTACCACTGTCTGTGTTGAGTGACTGACATGTTTTAATGCTATCAATAAAAGAAAAGTAACATTCCTTTGTGATTGAGAAGGTACAAGCATATGAGGAGATTAAAATAGATTTTAGTTAATAAGATTTTCTTCCTTTCAGCTTAAATAATTTTGAATTTCAACGACTTGGGGTCAAATTGATTCACACAAAGGTGTAGTTTGAATCCTTGATTCAAAGGCAACACACACAACAGTGAACAGAAGCCACTGCTTTGCTGAAAATGTCTGTAAGCATTGGTTATCCCACCTCTATTTTTTGTGGATACATTTTGTACCAGAAGGGGCTACCATTCAGCAAATGCCAAGGAAAGGATGTCTCCTTTTTCCTCCTCCTTCCTCTACAGTCTTTCTGCCTTTCCCCCTTCTCTTCCCGCCCATCACTCACAGAACCTTAACTCATGTGTTCAGCCCCTTATTTATGGCATTTCTGTGGCTATTGGGAAATTCCAAAAACCAGTCAATATATCCTGATAGTGCTCTCCAGGAAAAACACTAAAGTCAAGGTTACATGAGTAGAAGGGCCCACTGGATTTTCCTTGGAACAATGCAGCTCAGTTGGGATGGCAGGCAGGCTGGAATATGAAGATCTAATTCACTAGCACAGATGAGTGTTTCTCCCTGGGATTAATTAATGATTGCTCTGATATGGCCTGCCGAAGAGATGTAGGGCAGCCAGAGACAGTTAATGGGGATCTGTGAAGTCTCAGATTGTGAAAGATAATTAAAGGGAGGAATTTTTTTTTTGCAGTGTCACTCACGGTGCTTCACGTTTTGCCTCCAGAAAGTGGAATGCTTTAAACGTCAAAGTATTCTGCAAACACTGACCCACTCGAAAAGGGCAATTTTATCTTACAGTAAGTTACCATGCAGAAATCCACCCCTGTCTTGGCACCGTTTGGTGAATGAATCTGGACACACCATTAACTTCTCCATGCCTTCCCTCCCATACACTTGGAGGGTATACAGCTTCCTTTGAAACACACTGAACTTCAGGATAAAGATGTTATCCTAAAATTGTCCCCAATTCAAAGTATCAAACCTTAAAACATGCTTTTGGAAAAGTAAATAAATTTGTTTCACAAATAAGAATCCCAAAACAGACTCAATGATTCTCCCACTTTACTTATATGTCTTTGAAAAAACCCAAAACCTCACTCTCTTTTCACATTAGCCAACTCTCCTAAGGCAAAAATAACACGACAAAATTGAGACACACTTTCAAACATCTCTTCTATTGAAAAGGATAGAGGAGATGCCTGGGAAGACACTGAACATGCACACACATGCTTCTAGGCACATCAGCGCTGGTTACAATCACCTGCAACGGACAAAGATGCTCTGTCACTTCACTGTGGGATAGTAAAGAAAATAATGCTGCTTGTCCTCTGTGTCAGTTGAGCAATTAATACTGAGCTTAGGGCCATTTTAAGGGGGCCGGGAGAGGAGGGACGGACACCACCCCACAAAGGAATTTTAGCCCAAAATGACTCTACTGGGGACACTGTCACCTCAGCCTTCATGGCCTCTTCTCGACAAAGTCCATGCCCAGAGGGAGCAGTGCCGCCCGCGGGTCCGTGGCAGGGGCTCACCAGCATCTTCCCGTGTCCGTGACACCCTGCGGGCTCTGCACCGGCGGCTCCCGGCGGGGCTCCGCTCCCGCTGCTCCTCAGGGTGCCTGCCCGCGTCCACGGGGAAGGTGACCCGAAGCGGAATAGAAAACCAGGGGGACCCGTCCCTCGCAAGCAGACGAGCCCGCGGCGGCCGGCAGGTGGGCGCTCAGTGCGGGGCTGCGGCGGCGACCCCGCGGCGCCACCGGAGGCACCGGCCCCTCGCGGGCGCTGAGCGTCTCTGCCCCGCGGGGTCGGACCCAGGCGATACCGACAGCGGACAGCCACCCCCGCCACCTTACCTGCCGCCACAAGACCCCGGCACCGCCGCCACCGCCGGCCCAGCTCCGCCGTCCCCGGCGCCGAGCCGCGGGCGGGCGGGGCCGCGCGTCACTCGGCGGGGGCGGCGCGGCTGAGGCGGGCAGGGCAGGGAGGGGGAAGATGGCGGCGGCGGCGGGGCGCGGGCTGCTGGCGGCGGGGCTGTTCCGCGGGCGGGTCGCCATCGTCACCGGCGGCGGCACCGGCATCGGCAAGGCCATCGCCGCCGACCTGCTGGCGCTAGGTGGGCGCGGAGCGGGCTCCGCAGGAAGCCCCGGTGGGGCAGCGGGGCGAGGCGGTGTTGGGGGGGCGGATGGAGGGGCAGTGCTCCGTTCTGGGGGCTGACGGCGCTCGGGGACGGGGTGTGAGGAGCCGTGGGTAGGACACTGTGACAAGATCGGTGAATAGCAAGGGCTACGAGATCAGGTTGAGGTGGGGCTGTGCCTTTTGGCCCGCAAAGCACTCGCTATTTTAAAACACAGAGGTCAATGAGGTTATGTTAAACCAGGACCCTTTCTCTCAGACTCTCCCTTCAATGAGTTCTCCTCTTACTTTTACTTGAATTTACGAGGTTGTTGAACCTTGAACAGAGTAGTATCCTTGAACAGTAACATCTTAGAGATACAATGCTTCTCCCATGTGACTGCGATTTCGGGAACGTCCTGAGGTTGAAGAACACCTTCATGATGCACGGCGTAGGTTTCCTTTCCACGCTGAATACAGAGAAGTGATAAAACCTAGAGTGAAAGGCATTCTGACTTTCTGATGTGCGACCGGGAGAGGTAGAAAGGACTCCCACATCCACCTTGCAACACCTTTCCTGCAGATTTCAACATCAGTGCTAGGGATCATCGGCAAGGGTTTGGATAGTTTATTGTCACGATTGGATTCAGCGCCTTCAGAGTACCAACGCTAGTGTTAATCCTCTCTGTGTCACGCTGCCGTGGTTTGCATTGTTGGAATGTGCACCGCTGCACTGCATAGTAAAGAGCTTTCTTTGTTAAGGCTGTGCTGGGAGACATCTCTGCCTCTCCTGGCCTTTGTGCCGCAGCTTTCCACTTGCTTTGTGGAGCTGAATGGAGGATTAGTTCTGTTACCTTTGTATTACTGGGGAACGAAGTATTTTTTTTTCAAATGTCTTTACATGCTGCTTTAAAGAGGCGCTTTTAAAGCATCATTACACTGTTGGTTGGTGATGTTACCCAATTACCTTAAAATTGTGCTTAATTTGATCTATGCTGTTTTTCTCAAGCAAAATACAGTAACAAAAGGGTGTCCATAACAGCCTAAATAAAACACAATAGAAAACAAATCTATACAAAGCACATGAGATAAAATGAAGAAAGAGCTATACAGGGCTTAAGACTGAGTGAGTAACCTTCCTTGCCTGTAGACTTGCTTGTTACTGCTGACAAGATGATGATCAGGAACTATTTCCATGTATACTCTGCACTTCAGGTAAGGGGGGCTGGTTCTTACAGGCATAAGAGCAGTGTCAGATAATGCCAGTCATGATATGCATTGTTTATATAACCAGTCTCCTTTGAGGCCTTCTGGGCAAATTTAAACCTTTTATCTGGAAACTTATGCCCTTTTCTCTGACCCTGTCAGGAAACTGTCTGGTCATTCCTTGTGAAGAAAATTAAATGATGTAGTGTCAGCTTGCACAATATGTACCAAGTGTTCTTCAGTGATTAGAATCTTGCCCTCTCCCAATTAGTTTATTTAGCAAAAGTATAGTCTTCTACTGGACCTTATTCTATATCAGTGTGTGTGTAAATAAGGGCTTAAGTTAGTAAATACAACTGGGCTACTGTGATTCAGTATTTTGTGTTAATTGGTAATTGTGTGTGGCATTTTATGAACTTTGTGTTAGTTAGGTGGTTGTGCAAGTGACTGGAGTTCGTAAAAATCAGGAGACCTCAGAGACTACTGTCTTTATATGTGTTGTTTTAAGATGGCCACTAATTAAAAGGGAAGCTCCTATTCCTAAGGGTGTGTAGTTGTAACGCTTCCCTCTGGGAGAATTAAACTCTTTTATCTTTAATAATTTTTTTAATATATAATTTCACAAGACAGCCTGAGTCAAATGAACAGCTTGCTGCTCTTTGCTCCCACTAGTTATTTTGAGTTAATTCTGGTGTTTGCTTGATCACATAAGAGGCCGAATTCCACTCTGCAACGGGGGAGGGGGGGGAAGCCCCACACCTGGCAAGATGTCAGCTTTTTCCCTTTTTTTTGTCTGGTTGAGGATGGTTTATATTAAAGCAGATGAGCAGCACTCCTGGTATGAAGAAGGGATTACTTCTGCTGAAATGCTAAGATTATGGAAGGAGCAAATTGTGAGCAAGACCTTCTTGCCTGCTTGGCTAGTAATTTGCTTATCCATTACATGAAATTGCTTGCCTGCTGGATTTGCACTAGGAATTAATTTGGTATCCTTTGGTTTAGGCTATGTAGTAGCAATTGCTGAAGCCTTAAAGCTGTCCTGAGTCCACTGGTGTGATAAAAGAAATTAGACTGGTTGTAGTGTGCTTGACTTAAGTTTGGCACATGCATTGTTTTTTCTCCATAGAATGAGTCCTTCTGCCTCCAAATGCTGAAAAAAAGAGTACTTGAGCTCCTGCCTTATTTTATTTTCTCTCCTTTCTGCAGCTAGGATTCTGCAGTGCCACAGGGAGGGCTCTGTTCCCACTGTCTGTAGACTGCAGATAGGGATTAATCTTATGAGGCTATTATCCTTCCCTTCAGTCTCTGTAGAGTTAAAAAGCAGACCATCACATTTACTCACTACTAGTCAAAATTACAGCCAATTGTACAGGAAGATTATTTTTGTGGTTTTAAGAGCAAGCATTTTTTGTAATCAAAACCTGCTGAAACATCTTTAAATCACTTAATTGATAAATGAGGCAGCTGTGAGCAAAAGCAGCAGAAGTGATGTCTGAAAGCTGCTTTGCTGACTCTGCAACTCACAGGCTATCTTCCCTTCCACAAACCTTGTGGACTTTTTTTTTTGTAATTTCTCTTTTCCTGGCACAGGGGGATCTTGTTGCTAGGAAGCACCTGACATCAGTCATTTCTCTCTCTTGGAGGAACTTCAACACTCTATTTTCTAGTCAGTGACTAATAAATGCACATCCTACAGGGTATCTCCATGATGTTACTAAAAAAGTAGCATAATTGTGTTAGCTGAAGAATGTTTCATTTTGTTTCTACAGGCTGCAGTGTTGTTATTGCCTCTCGTAAATTTGACCGATTAAAAGCTGCTGCAGAAGAGCTGAATAATAGATTTGCTTCCATGAGTCCTGCCCAAGTGATTCCCATAGAGTGCAATATCCGCAAAGAAGAAGAGGTAAAGATTAGTGATCTTCTTCTGGGCTTAACATATTAAAAGCATATTATGTATAGAAATTCTTAGATCTTTAAAGATTTCTGGCCTTCTCAAAAGTAGCTTAGATGAAAGGTGGAAAGGTGAACCAAAGCTCAGTCAAATTGATCTGGATAGATGTGCTTCCCAAGGAAAGACATTTGTTAGCCACCTAAGCAAAAAAGCATTTGTAAATATTGGCAAATATTTTTCTGACCATGCTTGCATATTTCAGATATTTCTGGGAGGCACAGGCCTTGGAACTGGCATGTTCTACAGGGAGCTAGAGCCCACGTAGCATGATTCTTTGTCACATTGGTGTGACAGAAGTGAGGGGGTGTAAACTTGTGAAGATGGAAATCTCAGAATAGTTCCTTCAAGCAGGAAGGCATAGCATGGAATCTGAATGCTTGTGACTTGACTCAAGTGCCCTGCATTGTCAATTTGGCTTGTAAAAAAGCCAAAAAACCCCACAGATATATAATACATTAGCCATGTCAGAAATTTTGGTTATAGTTTGAGGTGTGCCTCATTGCAAACTCTGTTACTACTCAAGTTGATTTTTAAATTTTTTCTTCATATTACAAAAAATGGAAGATCAAGAGCAAAAGTATGTAATCCAGGTTCTTCAGAATTATCCTATTTTTTTAATCTCGGTAATTAAATATTTAAAAGTCCAACTTCAGGTTGGATTTTTAACTTTTTGAAGACTGCTAGAAAACCCTCCAATAACCACTGATTGCTACATTTTTCTGAATCTCTCGAAGTCTTTCTTAACCTAAATATTAATGACCTTCAGTAGCTATGAAGCTTCTGGAAATATCCTAATATATAGCCATAAAGCAAAAAATTCTTCCCTTGTGGAACAATTCGTGCCATAAAATATTTATAGTGATCTACTCAGACTTAAGGAGATGAACCCTGGGGCTGTGCAGTATGTCACTTCACCTACCAGTGAATTTTAGGTGTATATTTACTGGCATCAGCAGTGCAACATAATAGGTTATGGCAGATGTCAGAGGGCAACTTGCATGATTAAAGCTACAGGAAAGAAAAGAGGTAAAGAGGAAAAAAAGATTAATCTTTTTTTCAGGTCTGTTTCTTGCAGAAAGTACTCTGACATGCTTAATAACCTTCTGGAGGTGAATCTTATTTCTCTATCAGTCTGAAATTGATTAGTGGGAACTGCAGTGTTCTGTGAGATGGTAAGGGGCTTGCTTGGATGGTGAAATGAGGTAATCTCTTAAACTGCCATTCCTTCTTTGTTTCCTTTTTAAGTGTGGCTTAACACCTATTTGACAGAACAGCCATAAGTGGCTTTGGAAATTTTCGAAGCTGCTTTTCAAGCCTTCTTTATAATGCTGTGTAAAGTGTTTAGGCATTATTTTGTATCATGGGTGGCCATACTGATACTTGAAGAAACTTCTATCTTTGCTATTACCTTGCAGTTTCATCATAGAATTGTCCTGTTTCCAGTTTCTTTTAAACTCTACCCATTTACAGACCCAGTAGAACTGTCCTAGAACTTTTCATGTGATATTAGTAAAGGTTCTATTGGATATCTCCTATCAGTGGAAGTTTTCTTCAACCATTGTCCTTTCATGTCTGTTTCTATTGAAGAGAGGCTTCAGAGAAAAAAGGCACATTAAACTCTAGTCTTGAACTTTTCAGTCATTGATTTAGTCTTACAGTTTGACTCACTTCAGTTCTCCAACTGCTCTTATTTCTATTGAAGTTCAATTTAGAAAAAAATTGCTATGAAAATTTCATAAGCCTTTTGCTGACGATCTGAAAAGGAATGCAATTTCTGTTGCATATTAACATAAGAACTTGTGTACCTGTTAAATATTTCTCAATTCCAGATGTCCATCTCCAAGATCAGAGTTTTTATTGGTTTGAGACATCCTGTGATTTTTGTTCTTTAGCTTCTGCATTTCTGGCTCTGTTCTCTTCTGTTAATACTGAGATTCTCAAAGATTGCTAAATCCTGGAATGTGTTACTTAATTTCTAAATTTATTGTTGGACCAGAAATTTGTGTTTTCAGCTCTTAAATTTGTAGTGAGGATAGCACTTCCTTACACTTAGGTACTTTGGATTGTAAATTGAAACTAGATAAACTCAAATTAACAATTGTTAACTTACACTGTTAGAAACTGTCAGAACTGAAGTGTATGGCAGGTTTTCTACTCCCACTGCTTACTATTGCTTATTTATTATCTTTCCTAGAGCAGCAATGGTGAAACGTACTTTTTTCCTAATTTGCACTTGCTTGCCTTGTGGAAACTAGAAGAAAAGTACCTCTGGGCTTTTACTTCAAAGAGTATTGTTCATCCAATTTCAAAACCTACTCCATTCTTACTTAAAATTTAGTGCTTGGGACTTGGAGTCATAGGAACAGGAATCAGTAAAAGATGTCGTTAAGGATTTGTCTAGCCTAGGAGGCAAATATTGAGTAGAGGTACAGTATTTTCACAAATACAGGAAGAGCTTCCTGTTACAGTGGAAGAGGGGAAGAGAGGGCATGTAAACTTTTGGGTTCCCTCAGGAAAGAAATGAGACTAGTTACAGCTGTGTTGGCTCAGCGTGCTACTCATTAGTAGCATTACAACTCATTGTTTGCTTTCAGCTTAGTATGAGTGAAGAGTATTTACCTCAGAAAAGATGGGAGCACATTGTTGGGTAGAGAGGAACAGCCTCTGCAAGAATTCCGTATCAGTCACTACATCCTCCTTCTTAGCTTTATACCAGGTACCAAAGAACGTGTGCAGGAGAAAAACATTATAAATGTTTCAACAGGAAAAAAAACAACTTAGGAGTTCAAGTTCCCTTAGATGTCAGAAGTGATCTATCACAAGCTTCAAAGCCCAGGAAGTTTCCTGAAGAACTCCATAATTCATTTAATATGTCATTCTCTCTGAAATCTCACTGAAGTCTTTCTAAGAGTAAATCTTTATTTTAAAGGAAGCCATCCTGATCACCTGTAGGAACAAGCCATTTGTTCTTATTATAGAATGCCATTTTTTTAACCCTCCTTCTCCATCGGTTGTTCTGCATATCTCTGAAGGCCTCTATAAATTTTGTCCTTATTTGAATTTTATAAACTGGAGGGAAGGACTTTGTATAGGGAAAATTTAAGAAAGATGAAGGTGCTTTCAAATTTCCAGAAGATTATTTTTTGCCTCCTATTGCAAATCTTAAAGTAACTAACCTGCTTTGAAGATGACACAGCTCATGCCTCTAGTTTGGATCTGTGAAATTCAAGCATTAGGAGGTTCATCCCTCATCATGTAGTTCAGGATGTTTGTTAGAGCTCTTTCTGGCCTATGAAGAGGCAAAAAAAGATTCAATGAAATAATTGCTGCAGAAGCTTGATGCCAAATATCATGGGAATAACTTAATGAAGTCACATTTTTAAGTCTCTAAATCTTCATCCTTAGAAGCCCTTTAGCTTTCTAGCAAAGATTACTTTTTTTTTAATGTGCAAGAAATAATCCTGTTTGATGGAGGATTTTCAACAGTGCATAACCTGTCAGGCTTATTTTTGACATGAGTTTGCTGCTGCTTTTGACTAGTGTTCCATTGAGTCTTCTGTAAAAGATAAAAACCTGTTTTATTTTTAAAAATGGCAGAGTTGAGGGTTCTGGGATAACAGAACCTGAGGTGTCTCTATTCTGTCATCAGAATATATTTCTGTATTCTGTCATGGGGCCTTATCCTGGAGCAGCAATTGTGCACCTGTTCCCTTTTCCTGCGGTTTGGAGTGTATATATTGATAGATGTTGCTTCTTAGTGATTATGAAGCTGAAGTGATTTTTATTATTTGTGTATTTTCTGGCATTGCCCTCATAATGTGCTGAGAGCAGATCAGTTTGCTCTTGCTGAGATGCAAACCAGACAGCTCTGTGTGCATGTGTATTTTTATTTATCTCCTTTTGTGTCTTAAATTTTGAGCTACAGCAAAATCTGTTGACAGAGACAAGACATGAGGAATGAATGTCTGAATTAAGGGGAGAGAGGGAGGGAGAGAGACTGAGAGAGACAGAGACCAAGCAGATGACAGTCATGAGCCATGGATGCACCAATGTCCTGTCAGTCTTCTGGGGGTACCACCTTCATATAGGCCAAGTTTTGAGTATCCATGGGGTGGTCCCAGATGCCGTTCCCATAACTTGGAGTGATGTGTATGAGCAGTTGCTTCCTTTCCCACAGTTTGCCACAGTGAGCACTTCTGTCCAGATACATTAACCAAGATGTGCTAACCCGACCTTACCTCTGCTAGGCCTGGAATTAACACTTTCCTGATGCAAATTCCTCCCTTCTGTGCTTCTCTCAAGTTCCTGCTTTGGTGGCTTTTCATCTTACAGTAAGTTCCTTCTGTGGCCTTGACAGTGTTTTGAGACAGGCAGCTGTGCTCTTTAAATCCTTACACTTGTAAAGTCTTTTTGTTTTACTCTGTGGACAAACATTTCTTTAACTGGCACCTAGACAAGTAGAAGCTTACATGTCTAGGTAAGTGGAAGATAAAACCTTGTACTGGTAGGCCACAGCTGTTCTTGAAATCAGCAATTCAGAATTCTGTTCATGGTATCTCCTTTTCATACTTGGACTCCAGCAACAGAACCTGCTGCTGGACCAGACCCCAAGGGTAAAATCTGGCACTTGGACATCAACGAGACAACTTCAGACAGACTCAGTGCAGTGCTACTTAGCACATACCTTGTGGCTGAGTTGAGTAGTAGCTTTCCCAATAAACTTTATAGCTTAGCATAGGCTCAGTTGGTTTATAAATACTTAATGCCTATCTGTGTGAAGCCTGTAGTGAAAAACTGTGGCTTGGTGGGGAGTTGTGGATAAGAGATTCTTCTTGTTGTACTTTTAAATAAAACAGCAGTAACGCAGTAAAAATACCTGTTACCACTGGGCCAGAATGCCTATTAGTTCTAGGCACCAAATCACAAATCTCTAACACTCTGTAGTGGGTTGTTTGCCTGTGTGTTTTACTCACACAGCGTGACCTGTGAATGCATGTGGACATTTGTCCCTTTTCCCTGAGTCAATGACTGCTGTCATCTCAGTTGTCTGTGAATATGTGCTACTGCATAATACATCGAAGTTGCAGTCACACACAGAAGTTCCTTATTGCAGATCTCCAATCTTCTGGCTATGTCTGAAGTGCCTGATTTTGTTATTTTCTGTCTTTTTCAAAAGAACATCCTAAACTAGTTGCTCTACCTCATGGAGCTTTGCTTTGCTTCCAAAGAGTCTTTAATAGCTTATCTAAGAAGTTCTTTCCAAGTGGATTTTTAAATTATAGCGATAGAAAAGAATCTTCTTTAGTAGTCACTGTGATTTAAATGTGTTCTACCAGACCCTCCTTCTCCTTGTGCTGCTGGCTGTTGTCACCATGTTAATTGTACCTGGGAGAAGCACTGCAGTGATGTTTTTTCTACAGCACAGAAGACTATTTGAAGATTGCTACAGTTGGAGCCATGTGAGCTGTCACTGGAGAACCTTCTGGCCTTTCCTGCCTTTCAGAAAACAGAACTGATATGCATTTGTTGTTCTTAATTTTTTTTTTCCTGAGAATGTGGTGCAATATGTAGGAGCAAAAACTGTTCCTTAAGTGCAACTTATGGACCATTTTGAATTGATACACTATAGCATATAGCATACATTTTGTCCAGCTGTTGAGAACTTCCTTTAATGCCTCTTCTCAGTGGATTTTTCTTGTTAATTTGTTTTCTGTATTTTCTTTTTATCATTCTTGGCATTTTTCCTTCTCTCTGACTGTCTCCCATCCTTCCATAGTCTGAATAGCCTTAGTCTGTTCAAATCTTCTTTGTACTGAAACCATTTCTGTTCCATAAATGAGCCCATATTTCAGTGACTTACAGAGAATACTGTTCAAAGATTCTCAGACTGACAGGGGAAGAGTTTGATACTGCCGAGAAAAGCATAACTTTTGCTGCCTAGCTAGACATGACTTTCCTTTGCTCACAACAGGAGAAAAGAAAAGCCAGGATGTCCTTGTGGCATGGCTGTTCCTCCAAGCTATGAGTTTAGGGCTGCTGTCACAGCTGTTGTGGTTTTCTGGGTTTTTTTCCTCACATCCCACAGCCTGCAGTGACTAATAAGTGAGGAATAAGATGACATTCAGAATTTGAAGATTAGGTTTAGGTATCAAAATTATTTTCTTAAGGCATTTTTTCTCAGCAGGCACTAGGTTTTCAGTCATTACATGTTTAGGGTTTTTTTCTTTCAAGAGGTGCATCCTAACAGGGTCCATACTATCCTGTTAAACCACCCTGTGCTGTTAGCAATTAAAGATGTAAGGCAGCTATTTTTATGAGACTGGGTTGTGTCCTTGTGAGATATGGATAATGCATTGCTTGCACTTTTTTTTTGTTTCTGATGTTTTCTACTGCTAACTCAATACAGAGAAAGGCTGATTGATATCCTTCCCCTAGCCCAATCTGTTTGAGTGGCAACATTGCTCCACCTGTTTGGTTTTTTGGTTTTTTTTCTTCTGTTTTTCTCTGACCACAGATGCTAGATTATCTTTTTATGTATGCTTGAGTAGGAATAATTGATGCATGGTATCTACTTATCATTGATGATGTAAGCAAGAAACAGTTGTGTTGTCCCATTTCTTGTTTCTTGAGATAAATATTAAATTATTAAGTTGCTGCTATGGAGTTCTTATTACTATCTTGCAATAATAGTTTTGCTAAATAAAATAACTTGTATTTCCAGCATTTTTTAGACTTCATGTTTTGTAGGGTAATTAGCCTTCTTGCTCTGTGTAAGAAGACTGGCTATTTCCAGCTCTTATGTCAGAGCTGTAGTGCATGTACTAAACCTCTATGTAAGGATGATAAAACTCCACAAGATGATTTATGCTTTCTATTTAAAATGGTCAGGTTTATATGGTCAGATAAAAATAACAGCAGCTACCTTATACGGAACTCTTCACAGATCTCATGTGAACACCCCCATTCTTCTGAAAAACATCAGGAGATCTTTAGTAGGTCATTTTGTGTCTGTTTGATTTTACCAATCTTCAGCAGCTTAAATCCCTTTCTTCTTTGGGTGGTGGTATTTTATACAGCACCTGCATTATACCAGCAACATTTCCTAAGTAAACAGGGATACAGCCCAGCCCTTCCTGGCTGGCTAAACCTGTCATACCAATCTTACAGCCTTGCTGAAGGCTGGAGCTCCTCCTTTTCTGTGAAAAGGGCATGAGGGAGAAAATACTGTCTGAGAACAAAATTGGATAGACCTTGATCATCATACCACATTAACAAACACTGTTTCAGGTGGAAGCTTTGGTGAAGTCTACACTGAGTCTGCATGGGAAGATTGACTTCCTGGTGAATAATGGAGGGGGCCAGTTTACAAGTCCTGCTGAAGCCATCCGTGCAAAAGGCTGGAATGCCGTGATAGACACAAACCTGACAGGGACTTTCTATTGTTGCAAAGCAGGTAAGGTCTGAACAGTAACCTTTTTATGTTTATTTGGCTTTGTTTTTTACAGAAATACCAGAAGATAAGAAATATAAAGTTTCCCTAGTTTCTTTTTTTCATGCACTTATCTGACAGTGGATATTTATTTTCCTGAATCTCATCCAAAGCTTTGCATTAAATGGTGTATTGCATTTGTTCATAAATATAAACATACATTTAGGCAAGCACGATCTTCTGGTTAAGGCTGGGTTTGGGAAGTCAGTTGACTTGGATACTCATTTAAAAGACTATAGGAAAATCACTTAACTTTTGTGGCCTGTATTCACTATATATAACATAGGGAAATACTTTCTTCAGAGATATAAACTTAGGCTTAAATTTAAGTTTGGTATGTCATTCTCAGATTGCATTTGGAATGTGGAAATTAAAGTAATTTACATGGAAAACTGAAATCTTGATTTCCATCAAATGCTTCTTTACAGTCTTTGAGCCTTACCTGGACTTTGCCTGTTGCCTCATGGCCTCACCTCTGGATTGGCAAGGCTGTGGTACAAATAGCAGATTTTTTTTCTAAACCAGTATGACAAATGAGTAGAGTGATTGCAATTAAGAGTCCAAATTTGGTTTCCAGTTGGCAAGTTCATTTGTATGCATTTCTTCTGATATTTATAGGTTATCTTCCTCCTTCATACAGTGTACAATGCCTGGATGCAGGATCATGGAGGAGCCATTGTCAACATTACTGCTGCTGTGAGAAATGGCTTTCCTGGAATGTCGTAATATATATTTTCTTCTTACGCTTTCTTATATTTTTCCCCCATAAGTACTACCTGTTCCTAAACACTTCAGAAAGGTCATGAGAGAGCAAGAGTATCACTTGGCTGTATGTGTGAGGATCTCTTATTAATCCAGTAGATGGCATCTCTGGTCTCCACTTGTTTGTAAGAAACTATGAAGCAAGGCTTTCCAGTGAATTGGAAATTCATTTAATTGGAAATAGTTCCCTTTTCAGTTTGTTGTTTTTGTCGGTTTTTTTTAAACTTTGAGTTTCTGTTGAAGAAATATAAAATGTATTTTGAGTAAGTGTTGCATTATATCTTTTGTCCTCATGCAGGGTTGAATGGTTTCAAAACCAACATTTTTTAAGGAACAGCAGAATATTTTCTCACTGGCTTGTTCTTCACAGTACAGAATAAAGATAGAGATCCACATGGTGGTGCTGAAGCTACAGTTATTTGAGTATATCCACTGTGGTATCTGGTTCAACTGTCATGGCAAATAGACTGAAGATGTTTCAATTTGAGTTGAACTAAGAGGAAAAACAAGCTCATTCTGAATAACAGTGGAATGTTTTTCCTAAGTAACCGTTGTATGTAGATGGATAGACAAAACTATTTCCAAATTAAATTGAGTTGAAACTTCTTGCAGAAATGAACTGTTGAAAAAGATATGCCTTTACAAGTCTAGCCACCACTCATGCCAAAAGTCACTTGATATGAGTGTTTTATAAGTATTAATTTTGAACATAACAGTTGTCATGTTTCCTCAGAGTGTGCCTGGAGGTAATCTATTTCTGGCCTAGACATATGAATAAGTTACATTATCTTATGTCTTTCTTAAGCTTTTCTTATTATTTTGCTGTATTTGAGGAACTATTTTTATCCATCTCTTCTTATTTTATCTATCTCTCTGTTTTGCTAGGCTAAAGCAGCTAAATTTATTCATTTTCTCTGACTACAACTGTCTACAATTCATTACTGCAGTAATTTTGTTTACATTAGTTCAAGCTTGTAATCATTTCAGACTAGTTACCTACAGAAGCAAGGTGCAGGTGTTCACTCTGACTCTCATGTCTCTATCTCCATCCACCTACAGTAATTTTTGAATAGTGACTTATTTTAATCATGTTTGTCACAAGATTTAAACAATCTTTCAGATCACTGTTCTTCCAAGTGTTGCTTTACCTGTGCAGGCTACAGGTAGTTTTACACAGCTTGAACTTCAGTTGTTTCTCTTTTTATATGCCTCCTCCTGCAGTAGAGTGTAAGTGACCCCATTTTGCATTGGGAAAGAGATTTTAGGTATTTCTAGCAATGATAGGACATCACAGCATGGCTTGTTTAAACAGCCATGGTCAAACTTGGAAACTAGAGAGTCTCTCTCTTCCAGATACTTGGTCCAGCCACAGAAAACCACTCTGAATACCCTAATGAGGCTGCAGTAGAATTAACATTGGACACTCTTAGCTAAGGGAACAGATGCTTCCTTTGCTTTCTTTTCTCCATAGGCACTCAGGAGCTGCAAGAGCTGCAGTGAATAACTTAACCAAGACTTTAGCTTTAGAATGGGCTCACAGTGGAGTGAGAATCAACAGCGTTGCTCCCGTAAGTAATGGCAAATGATCTGATTAAAATTGCTGTTATACCTATTCACAGTTAGAGCTTTTGGACCAAAATAGATTTTAAAATTTATTACCAGTGCAACTGTGTGTGTATTATGTATTTATTTATTTTTAATTTCCTTGCTGTGTTCTTTGGGCCATTTGACAGTGTTTTTGTACTTTCGGATGATGAGTCAGAGGATGTGGGATAAAATTACTTCTGCTTTCTGCCTTGACTTGGCACACTTGGTTTTTAGGTTTTTTATAGCTAAATGAAATTATACTGGTAGGAGTTGGTGACCTGTCTTACAAAGCCTTGACATAAAATTACAGAACACTCTATGTTTCAGTAATGGATACTTTACTTCCGAGTTCAGGAAACATTTTCTGTTTGAGGTTCAGGTATGCTAATAGTTTCCACCTACATTTACAAACTTAATTCAAAAATCTCTGAATGTCTAACATAATGCCTTTTCCTTTGTCTTCTACATGTTAAGTTAGTTCAGCTTTAAGCATATAAAGAAACTGTAGTTGGGGTGTACCTTCTCTCAGAGAAATCATATGTAAAAATGTGTGTTTTGATTTTTTTTCTTATCAAGTTTATGCAGACAAGAAACCACTACACAGGTCAGCTAAAATATGCCTGCCACATTTCTGAGGAAGTAAACAGCAGGTAGAATTGTTTTAAATAACTATATAGAAAGAACAACTACGTTTTGTAGTGCAGAAGTTACATAGAAGCTCTAGCCTTGATATTTGAGAATGTGTGAGCTATTGTAATTTTCTCTTATCCACAATTTATTTTGTACATTTACTCCCCTGAAATTAATAGAAGAAACATAAACTTTTTCTGGCTACTTCTACAGTCAGAATTTAACTTATCTCACAGCGAGTGTCATAGGTGAAGTGTCATATTTGTTTAAGTGATCCCTAGGAAAATCTTGCTACTATTTTTGTAGAATGTCTGTTGTGCCTCTTGTCCTAAAACATCTGGCTTGCTTTGTTTGGCATAGCATAGAATGCTTAATGGCAGATGTGTGTTAATCATTCAGGTACAGGCTTTTATGTAACCTTTGTGAGACCCAATTCATCTGGAGACATATTAAATAATAAGATTACTGACTTGTATTTCCTGTTTATCTGCTTTTTCTGATTTATCAAGTCTTGGGGAAGTAAGTAATTAAGACAGCATTATTATGTGAATATACTTTTCAGGCATGCTAATTACCTAATGAATCATGCTGATTAGATATTATAGCACATGTCAGAAGAAGTTTTTGATGAGCGAACACTTCAGGGCTTTGGCTGTTTCAGGAGTATTTGCTAGCTTTGTTACTATGCTGGTAACAAAAGTCCATATTGTAGTTACAATAATACTTCTGTCACTGTTGTGGACCCATCAGGTCTGTGGCAGCAATACAAAATTGTTACTGCTTTATGGGAGGAGAGTAACCTGCAGGGAATGGATACACAGAGAGAAAAATATGCATTCTGAAAAAAATAGTTTCACATAAGTTATACGCTTCATGGGTGAATTAAAATTTTGCTATTTTACTTAAACTTGAGTCCCAAAAGTTCTATCCTAACTGGTGGATGTAAATCTGTGTTCACATTGCCATCTTCCTTCTCAAAACTAAACCAGACTGTGTGGTCACCAGAGCAAACACAGTCATCTTTTCCTGCTTCTACAGCAGCTAAGTAGGGAGAGTCAGAATTCTGACTGAAATTTGTCTGCTTCTGTAATTCACAATGAATCGGATAAGTGCTCCTACAGATGACAAGAAACTTTTGAGAACTTGATCTTGAGGCTTTGTAGTTTCCTGCTGTAATTTAATATGAAATGCTTCTAATTGCAAAGCAGCCTCTGGGGTTTTTATACCCCACTTTTTTGTTACTGAAGTGACAACGGAGAATTGGCATAATCAGAATTATTGTGCTTGAACAGAGATGTGGCTAACAGCCAAATTACCTTCTTGTATAAATTATACTATGCCATTGCATTCAAAAATTTATATTCAAGTGCTCTTTAGATAGTTCAGTCCCACAGAAAATCAGTAATGACAACTTCACAATTTTAGAATGATCAGTTTAAATGTATGCAAGAGAACTTAAGTTTCACTGTGCTGTTTTTAAATAGGGGCTGGTATTTTCAGAAACTGCTGTTGCAAACTATGGAGAACAAGGTGTAATGATGTGGTTCAAGAGCATACCAAAGGTTCCTGCCAAGAGGTCGGCTGTTCCTGAGGAGGTAATGTATTTCAGAATGTTTCAGAGACGTCTACTTCTATGTCTCTATTTTGAAGCACTTTATTATGTGGAGAACAAAAAAGATTTAATTTTGCACTGTGATGGAATATTTAAAAAGAAGAAAGTTTGTAGCAATGTGTGGTTGTGCCAAGTGAGAGACTTAACCAGTAGTCAATGTCATATAGAAAATTTGCAGCTGAAGTGTTTGATAGTAGACATTATTTCTTGAAGAAGTTGCCTTCTGCAAGGCACTTGCACTTAGCTCTCTTCCACCAAGAATGTGCATCTTTGATAAATCGATCAACCTTTTTCTGTTGGTTTTTTGGTACCTGAGCTGCTCTGTGACAGCTTAATGGTTTTCCTCTGTTAAATGCTTGATGTTTGTGGCTGGAAGGATGGCTTTAAGGCTGTTGCAATTTTCATTACTAAGTAGAAAATGTTACTGTATCTTGCCTGTAAACGTTTTCACAAGCTTCTTTGACATGAACAATTCCCAGCAGTTTAAGAAAGATTAAAATTGTCATTCTTTTGCTAGATCTCTCCTGCAGTATGTTTCCTGCTGTCTCCAGCTGCATCATTCATAACTGGGATAACCATGGTCGTGGATGGTGGCCAGAGTTTGTATGGCCATGCCCTAGAAATACCTGGTAAGAAATGGGCTACAAAATAATGCCCTTCAAGTGACTCAAGTTGTGCAGTGGGAGGACACAAAACTAAAATGTCTGGTTTCTCTATCAACTAACTAAATTCTTCTATTTGTTTTCCTCAGATCATGACAGATGGCCCTTACCACCAGAAGGAAAAAATTCTGAAATGCTGAAAAAGCTTCTTTCTGGCGAGTTCAAACCAAAGCTGTAAAAGAAAGATTTTTACCTTGTTCCCTGTTGCACCCTTGCTGATAATCTCACTTTGTGATTTGGCCTTACTATTCTCAGTAATAATTTTTTTAGGCTCATATGTAACTACATTAAGTGCCTTGATTTTGTTGGTTTATATTTAAAACTTTTGAACGGCTTTGAAAACACTCACCCTGAAAACATTCAGTCTTTTGGGAAGGGAAAAGATACAAAAGACAGATTATCCATTTGCACGGGCATTAAGTAATGAAGAATCTCAACCAGAAGTGAATAAAAACAATACCTATTTTGCAGTGAAGGTACCCAAGAGGGAATGTTTAGGAATCCTTTTGTTCACCATGAATTTACAGAAAAGGTCATTTAAATCTTTTACTATTAGTTGCATCAGTAACCCTTGGGTAAGTGTTAGCTCTACACGGTTTCTCTTCAGCCACATACTGAGCGCTCAACAATGGTTTTAAAGACTAAGTAGAGTAAGAATTTCCCTGAAAATAAATAAAAAGGTGGAATACTGTTATTAATGTTTCAAACTAATTTGGTATATCATATTTGGAATGCTTGCAGATATGACATAATGGAGTTAAGCTGGCTGCAACTTGAATTTGATAACAGAATAAGCAGATAATAAATGCAATGATGGAAAGCAGTAAAGATTCAACAATTTAACATGCAAAATCTGTGTATATTGCACTGCTTTCTGCAGCATGCTGCACTAGTAAAGGAGAAATTTGGAGCTTTTCATTTGCCAGCTAAAATATCTTTTATCCATACTGCGTTGTCTTACAATGTTAACAGAATTTTGTTCATTACTGTATTTAGGTGTGGTTTTTGTGAACAATGCAGAGATGCCATTTAAAAACCAGAAATCGTATAATACATCACTCGAAGAGGCTTATTTGTAAATTTTTTACTCACTTTAAGGCAAATGTTCCCATGTCTGCTAACTTTAGGGAAAATATAAAAAATAAGTAATGGCTGTGTTTGTTTGCTGTAAAAACTGAAATTCCTGGAACCAAGTTGCTGCTATTGAAGGGAACTTTTAATACTTCATTTTGGACTGAATGTAAGAGTCTGATGATTGTTTGTTCTCTGCAAAGGTATTTGACGTTTGTGTCTTTCAGTAAATTATGTGCTCTTATATAGGTACATGTAGATTGCTTTTTCATGAAAATTAAATGAATGCAAGTTTTTGGGTGAAGGAGGAGTTTGAGCCATCATGTGTGTTTTTTCTGTTTTAGCCTCATTCCTTAATAACTGGACAGTCATTTATGTGGCTATGAGAAATTGGTATGGAGATAAAGCCAACTTTTTCAAACCTCTTGTGCAGGGTATATTTTGTTTATTGCAAATATTAGTTCAGGGTACTCAGCAAGAGGATTCCTGGAAGTAAATGCACCTGATAGGTAACTAACTCGAAAAGTCCAGCCCATTGCATTCAAGTGAAATTATTTAGTTCATTAACACATTATTTTGACATTCTTAACATCTTTCTGGAAAAGAAGGTTAAACATTAATAAGCTTGAGATTTGTGGAGCTTACTTTCTCTTTATGTTTTTGACTGTGAGTTTCTATGGTACATGTACACTGTGGATTCAATGTGAAATGGAAGTGAATTGATTACTTTTATTATATCCCAGAAACATTCACTGAAAGATTTGGGTACAAACTTGGAAATCATCAATTTTTAATCTTGCAAATTTCCCCTTTAACTTTGCTACAGTGTGAATATTCATAAAGAGAGGAAGTTTATTTGTAATGATGGTGAAATTAATCATTCACCTCAGGAAATCATGAGAACATTAGAAAGGTGAGCATTCTTCTGTGTGTGAGACATGTTCAATCTGCTATTAATAAATTCCTTCACAAGTAAAACTATAACAAACCTTTCTGCTTGTGCTGAATACAATTTGACCTTGTCTTGTTCAACTTTCAGCAAAGTAATGGATGTAGTAAGAAGATGTAAGCTAGTTCTTTGGAAGAGGCTGTGTGGGTTTTTTTTTTTAAGTGGCAGGAAGTTGAAACAGGCAGCGTTTGTGGAGCCATAATGTGCTCAGATTAGTGCAATAGGAGAATATAGTCAGAATACTCTAAGGGTAAATCTGGTTTAAAAATATAGAAAATACATCCTGGGAAGGAGAAGGGGGACACATCGATGTGTCTGCTTTTCTTTGCTTTTTCTTTTGTTTTCCCCAGTAATAATACCAAGGATGGTATTAAGCTGAGATTTACTGTGTGTAATATTAAAAGGTTTATCACAACTTTTTAGATATTAGGATAGTAACTCCCTTGCTGTAATGGTTTTGCAGTAATCACAGCCTTGTTTGCTTGTTTGGGTTTTTTGTTTTGTTTTTATTTGTATTTTTTTAGGGATGTTTACTTTGGTTTTGTGTTTTTCATCCTGCACCATGGATTACATGAAGTGGTTAATTCTCAGAACAGAGGTTTTATTTTGGTCTTGCCTCTTTGGTCCATTTTTATGTAGATTTAAATTATTTTAAAAGTTTTGCAGCTCCCTGCAGAAACCCAGTATGTGTCAGCTGGGAGCAAGAATGTTTCAGGTTTCTGCTGTAGTGCTGCAGATAATATCAACTGTAGCAAAGCTCTTCCTATGCCAACAGCCCTTGATCAAAGGGCATTGAGAGGTTAAAAGAAATGGGTGTGGTAGCAAAAACATCTTTGACCTTAAGATTGGGGTATCTGGAGTTCAGAGAACAGGGCTTTATTTTATTTGATTTATTTTACAAGGGAAGTGAAAGCAACTATGAGAAAAGGGTTAAGGAACCTCAGGAAGAATCAAGGAGATTTACTGACCAAACACTGAAATTGAAACATTTGCTGCACCTTATAATTGAATAATTATAATTATATATATTATATATAATATATAATAATTATTAAATATAAAGCAAAGAGAAGAATGTTAGAATGACAGTTATGTTTACCGTTCTGTTAGAAATCTCTTTTTGGTTGCTTTAGTATTTACCTCTGCCTAAGCCTGTGCCTATTCTGCCTATCTCGTATCAGATATTTATTTGATGGATGAATAGGTGCTTACCAACTACTGCTTTACTCCACTGCCTGGTGTTATATCTGAATATGTGTCATAGAACTTTACATTTGTGACAGCAGCGTAATTCAATGAAGGGGAACTTCTGTCAGTTTCTGTCAACTGCACTTGCCTTACGTTTTACAGATACTCTTTGTGTTAAGCAGAATATTGTTCATTCAGGGTATTTATTTGGCATAAAGTGAAGTCTGATTATTCTGTGTGTTTACTTAGTGTAAAATGAAGTCTGTGTTGTAAATATCTTCATTCTTTAAAGATTAACACTTGTCATGTTTGCTGAAGGGAGAATAGTCTGTGCAGTGTCATTCTGCAGTAAGGTCCCTTGTCTGCTTTAAGATGTAAATGAAAAAATACGAGGCAACCTTTGCTTGTAACAAACATTTCTGGCTGTGTTTAGTTTTCTGAACAGTCACACAGAATATCCCCTATAATTTTTAGGAAAGTGTGCTCTTTGCAAGGTAGTGTAATTTCATATATTTCTAATCAGCATCTCCCAGTTTCCCCTTGCCATCTCAAATAGCAGCCCCGTGTTAAGTGGCTGAGTGCTGCAGATGTTAGGGGAATTATCTTATTAGTAAAGTCAACAATGTCTGTATTCTGGGTTACTGAATATGACTCAATCCTAAAGGTAAATGAGTTGCTTCATAAACTTCAGTGATGGGGCTGGAGCAGACAAACCTATCAGTACTACTGCCCAATATCATTTAGTGTGTATTACATTTTTATCAATCTTCCAGCAGTGGTTTAAGACTGTCCTCCCCAAGATACTTGCCCTTCCTTTCTTTTCACATCAGCCTTACAGTGATGGTGCATTTGTATTGGGTGGAAGTACTGAGATGCAGGCACTTGTTCCCTTCTGTCACGGGAAGGCAGAGGAGCATAGCAGATACGGCTAGCAAAGGTTTGGAATACTACTGCTGTTTGCTCAATGCATGTGAGCTGGATTTAAGTTTATAAATGCTGTTGGCCCTCCTGCTGGTGAGCAAAGACCGGATCATGTTATAACATCCGGGCATCACAAGCTTTATCCTACTGCAGTTCCCAGAAGAAGCCATTTTGATTTCTGTTATCTGCTCTGTCACCAGCAGCTTGTTCCTTTGTCAGTTAGCCCCTCATTTGATTAAATATACATTAAATTAATCACTAACTTACCCTTTTCTGGATATCATTCAAAACGTGGTAATACGGTGCCATCTATAGGAAGGAGTGGTGGGGAGGCAAAGAAACTTGGGAGAAAAAGGAGAATGATGGCATGCTTTTGCAAAGGGGCTGGTTTGTTCCTTTTTAAAGTGTTTAGAAGCTGTGGCTCTAGTGTTAACTAATACAGGCACTTATTAGCCTCAAGCAATACATGTAGGAGGTGAGAACCTCTCATTGCAATGAGGTATTGATTCTGGTATTCAGGGAGAGCCATTCTGCCAGGTTTCAGTCAATTGCTTGAGTACACTATCCTGAGATGTGCTTGCTATATAATTTCACCCCCACACCTTCTTCTGTTACCTGTACAGGGTTTGAACTGAATAGATAAATAATTGATATAGTTCTTTTCAACTCCTATCAGCTATTTTTCACTGTTAGTTTCCATATAAGCAATTGCACTTTTCCTGTAAGATTTACTTTGCTTTGGTAGCGTGACACATGATCCCAGAACCATGCCCCTGGGTTTGGGCTGAACGCAGTGTGAGCCAGTGTCCTAAGTTCTGGTCCTTGGTGTTGATAGATAGTTTTTATCTCAAAGTCAGTATTTTGCTGTTCATCCTGCTCCTGCTAGTGAAGATGCTCTGATTTCAGGATTATGGCATGATAGCACTGATGCGCGTCTGGATGTATATCACCTCTGCAAGGCACTCTCAAGATGGTGCTCTGTGCTAGGCAGGCTTTGTGAAGCAATACAAAGCATCACATGAACAGAGGAATGTGGGATGACTTTCCACAATCCTTGCTGGCTTCTTCTGTACTAAAAGAACTTTGACTTCAAAACCTACTATTCACTAACCCTTCCTCCATCAGGTAAATCCAGTTACAAGATGCTAAAGCTGACAAATGGCTATGAAACGGAACATTAAGGCTAGGGAAACACTGGATGTGTTTTCAAAGCTGCATAAGGAGCTGTGGCTCATTGATTTTGCTTGATGGGGCAGGAGCATCACACATCAGCATTTTCTTGTCTGTTTCTCTGTTTGGCAGAAAAGGTCACCTTTTTAACTTCCTAATTAAAGATTCTTTAATGTCTTTTATGTCTTGTCATGACAAGTGTCTCGGAACACCACTGACAATTTTCCCAAGTCTGGAGCCAAGTGTCTTAGCTTTGAGATGACTATGTCTCCTGCATGATGGCTCTGGAATCAGTGATTCAGTGCCTTGTGCCTTTCTTGGATGTACTTCAGCACTGTCTTCTTCAGTGCCTTTTAAAAAATATGATCGTATTTGCTTTTATAGTATTCTGTAGCCTATTTTGGTTGAAAATCTCAAAATAATCGGGTTATGGACCTTGATGGGCAATTACTTAGTTTCATATGTTGTTCCCACTGGAAAATGACACATAAATCTTAAACTTCTGTTCAAGTATTATTTCACAGTGTTAAGGGTGACCAAAGTAACTCCCCAACCCTTGTTTCGGGTAGATTTTGAGGGGTTGTCCAGGATTTGCAAACCTCTTGATGTCTTACGCGTTAAATACTTCTTACCACATGCCCAGAAAGCAGCATGTGAGCAGCAGCTCAGCGGGGATTACTGAGCTGTGGAGTCAGGTGCTGCAGCACAGGTCACTGCTGTCTCTGTACAGCTCTGTGTGAACACACAGGGCCTGGCACTGTCTCAAAGGGCGTCCGCTAAACATGCACAGGTCATTGTGCATCTCACACACCATGATTCATGCCTGTAAAGTTACTGTTAAATCTGTACAAAACTAATTACAGTGTCATGCTATTATTTACCGTCATCGGCTACTTAAGACTGCACGGGTAGCTGTAATAGCTGTCCTGCTACGTATCAGGGACTGCTTCCTCGCTGATTAATTGAGGGTAGCCTCCTTCCTTGCATGCATTAACTTCCTGCGGGAAGCAGGTGGCTCCTGCAGAGAGCGTCAGTCTGTGCCGGGAGAAATGGGCGACTAAAAATTGTCCTAAAAGCGTGAA